ATCGAAGGAAATGGGAAAACTCAAGTTCCAGAAGAAAAAGTTTGGTGAAAGAGACAGAAAGACTTGGCAGGGAAAAACAAAGAAAATTTTTACCAAAAGATAAAGATGAAAAGAAAGGTTACCTCACGCAAACTAAGTGGTAATGATGGAACCGCCTCGGTAGTCGTGGGGGAAGTGGAAAGGTTTTTCCCCGTTTTAATAGTAAATAATCAAGATACGGTCATGATGGTGACAGATGTCACGCGATCGAATATGGGTAATACCGAAATTTAAGGACTGACAAGATCTTGGCGGGAAAATCAGAAGATCCCACAAGCGCAATCTTTGGTCATTAAAACGTTTAAAGTCTTCCGAATTGAAATAAGCACTTCGAAAGACTTGGGGGGCTAATTGTTGGTGTCGGATCCCGCATCAGTAGACCGGGACCAACCAAAGATCGCCACGTAATCAGGATGAAGGCCCACAGAGGATAAGGCCCATTAGGCCCATGGTTTACAGGGTATAATCGAAGTGGGCGTCACCATAAAGAGAGCCCGGAGTGGTCACACCTCGGGATATAACTCGGAATCGAAGTCAAAGTTAGAACGGGTGAATTGGGCCAAAAGGCGAAGCCCATGAAGATCGGAATCAATTCAAATTCAAACGTTGAGCATTAAAACTCGAAGACCAAAACGGACACATTTAAGAGAGAATAATTATGTTTAATTGAGAGTTAAATGTCGTTTGTCAATATAAACAAGAGGGCTAATAGCCATGTAAAGCATACGCAATTTTTCTAGCAAATACACTTTAGTCATTCCTATTGCAATTCATAGCTTTTTCATCATATTTTTGTCCTCAAGAATAATCATTCCCACTAGTTAAACAAATATTCAAGTGTGCGAATCCGACATCCACATATATAAAAAAAAAGAATGTCCATATGTTACTTTTTTTTTAGTACGAGGAGGTTCTCGGTCAAAGCCCGTAATCCCCTAGGCCCGAAACTATATCATGTATTATTAGTTTCGTTCCAAGTGTTACTCGAACTGGCGACCTCTAAGCTTTGCTTAGGATCTTTACCGGTTAAACTAACCACATTTGGTGTCCATATGTTACTTTTTCGCAGAAGTCATGTGTGTAATCGGTGTGTCAAAACTATTCTTCTTTTTACACACTATCGAAACCCACACATTTAATTACGAAGATGTAGTAATGCCTTAAATACCTTACCCTCGGAAAGTTTGTCTAACGCCTCCCATTATAGGCTATCATCTTCGCAAGGTTCTTTTTTTCTTTACGCGCTTGGTAGACTTCAAAATTGGTGTGATATATCAATTAGTCAATATGGATAAACATGTTTTCGAATAAGTTATATTCCATACATTTTGTCTTACCAATATTTCAGATTAATCTCAAAATATGAAATAATAAAATATGTGAAATTATTTGTCTTTTGTTTTTTCATAACATGCGAGTTTTAATCTAAATGGTTACACATCAATAACACTACACACATAATAATATGTTGAATGATCTTTTTTTTTTTGGTCGTCTGGTAGAAATATATTGAAAAGACCATAAAATGGCAACCAACAGATACAGACACGAGGAACTAGAACCAAGAGGAGAACAAAAACTCCCAGGCCAACACAACCTATACTAAACCACCAATACCAACACATGGGGTTCTATACAAAAAATGCAGTTCACAAAAGAAATAGAAACCACGGAAGAACCTGCATTAACAAACAGTAAGGCAAATCCTTTCAGATTCAAAAACACTAGAAAGCCAAACTGGAGGACCCAAAGCAACATAAGATTGCAACCTCAGATCTCCTGTCACACTTTGAGCAATAAGATTTGCTCCCCTGTTTGTAGCCTTTGTTTCCAGAAACAACTTCCACTCCGGAATGGAACGCAAAAAACTCTTTAAAGCTCCCGCTTGAGCTTTAAAAGAAGGCCAGGCCATCAGCCTAAGAACTGACTCCACCAAGCATTTCTCTTGACAAGCAAAAACCACTCTCACCACTTTGTGACTGGCCATGCTTTCAATTGCCCACAACAGAACTCTTAACTTTGCATCCTCAGCACTTCTAATACCAGAGAAAGCCCTACGGCTATGAAAAAGCACCACTCCCAACTCATCTCTTAAAACCCAAGCACCCCCTGCAATCTGATTTCTTTTGGACCAAGCAGAACCAACATTGCATTTGAACCAATTACACGGTGGTTTTTCCCAAACTTTCACTGTCACCAGATCACTTCTCTGAGCAGCCCTAAGAACAGAATGATTAAGCACAGAAACACCATCGGTGTCAACACATTGGGCTTCAAACCATTCAGCAACATCAGCTCTGATTTTTTCAACCGATTCCAGGGCTGTGTAATTCCTCCCTTCATAAATGAAACAGTTCCTATTTTTCCATATCCTCCAAATAATCCAAGGAAAACTTAATCTCAACTCAATAGGCCAATCCTTGTTATTTTTGTTGCTCAGCAAGTGAAAGATATTGGAGAATACTGAACCACCAGAGAAACCAAGGTGTGGAGAGGGGAAATCTGAAAGAGCCCAAACCTGTCGAGATTGAGAACACAAAAACAGAGAGTGATTAATTGAGTCACCCTCCACACCACAGACCTGACAGGTATCTTCTACACTCATTCCTCTGTTGTTCAGTGCTTGAGCCACAGGCAATGCTCCACTAAGCACTTTCCAAAGGAAAATCTTTATTTTTGGATCAGTTTGCAAATTCCACACTTCTTTTTTCAGGTCAAGCGTGGAAGGACAAACAGAAGCTTCTTTAATCAAATGAACACTCCTTTCTTGGTCAGCTAGCCAATAAGCCGATTTAACAGAAAAATCGCCACTTTTGTTATACTTCCAAACATAAAAATCCTCCTCAGCAAAAACTGGTTTGATAGCTTTAATTAAAGAGATGTCCTGCGGAAAAAAATGCTCATCAAGAATATCAGAATCCCAGAACCCTTTGCTTGGATCAATTAGGTCACAAACCTTTAAACCAACATTGAAAAAAGGATTTTTCCTCAAAGGAGCCCGCATGCCATCATCCTCAAGCCACAGGTCAGTCCACACAAACATAGAAGCACCATTTCCCACTCTTTTGCACAAACCTTTCACCAAGAGATCACGACCAAACAAAATACTTCTCCATGCGAAAGAAGGCCGTTGGGAAATAGCAGCATCAAGAAATTCAGACTCAACAAAATACCTGCTCTTCATGAGTCTAGAGAGGAGACAAAATGGTGACTGCAACAACCTCCATGCTTGTTTGGCGAGTAAGGCTTGATTGAAGGTTTGAATGTTTTTAAACCCCAATCCACCAAGATCTTTTGAAAGACACAATCTTTCCCAGCTTTGCCAATGAATCTTACTAGAATGTTCCTCAGAATTCCACCAAAAAGAAGCCATTGCACTTTCCAAATTTTCACAAGTCGTTTTAGGAAGCTTAAAACAAGACATAGCAAAAACCGGCATTGCTAAAGCCACTGATTTTAATAACACTTCTTTTCCACCTTGGGATAGACATCTTGAGAACCATCCTGAAAGCTTGGACTTAAGTCTATCCTTTAAATAATCCAGCATGTCAACCTTTGAACCACTGAAACACTCAGGCAGCCCTAAATATGTCCCAGCCCCACCCTCAGCAGAGATTCCCAAGCAATTTTGAATACACACTTTATTCACATCAACTACCTTTGCTCCAAAAGTAATAGAAGACTTACTTAGGTTTATGGTCTGCCCAGTCGCCTTGCCATAAGTACATAAAATGTTCTTGAGGACAAGACACTGATCTAAAGATGCTTTGCAGAGGAAGAGAGAGTCGTCCGCAAACAGCAGGTGGTGGACTGCAGGGCCGTCAGGACTGAATTGGATACCTTCTAACCTCTTGTCACTTTGAGCTTTGTTCAATAAATGTGTCAAACCTTCAGTGCAGAGAACAAAAAGAAAGGGTGACAACGGGTCGCCTTGTCTCAATCCTCTTTGAGGAATAATCATACCAAAAGGATTATCATTAATAAGCACCGAATACTTCACTGTTGAGACACAAGTCATGATCCAAGAAACCCATTTGATGTCAAAACCCAAAGCAATGAGTAGGGACCTAAGGTAGCTCCATTCCACTCGGTCATATGCTTTTGACATGTCCGACTTAACCGCCATAAACTCAGCTGAAATCACAGGGTGAACCCTCAGGCTATGGACCAATTCATGAGCCACTAAGATGTTGTCTGTGATAAGTCTTTCGGATACAAAGGCTGATTGTGTATCAGACACAATTAAAGGCAAAAAGGGCTGAACTCTCTTCACAATAATCTTGGAAATGATTTTGTAAAGGACCGAACACAAACTGATTGGTCTTAAGTTAGCCATTTCTGTAGGATGATGGGTCTTCGGAATAAGGCACAGATGCGTATAATTCCATTCAGCAGGAAGAACACCATCAACAAAAAACTTTTGAACCTCAGCAATAACTTGAGGACCTACAATACTCCAGTAGTACTGAAAAAACATTGCTGACATCCCATCAGGACCTGGGGCAGCAGAAGGTTTAATAGAGAAAGTCGCCTCTTTGATTTCCTCTGCACTAACCTTTTTAATCAGCTCAGCATTCATGTGATCAGTAACACGAGGGCACATACCAGCAAACCAATCGTGGAAGCTAGAAGGATTAGAAGAAGTAAAGAGGGACTGAAAATAGGCCGCAGCGACTTCCCCTTTTGCTGCCTCAGATTTCTGCATATTGCCATTAACATCCTTCAGTCTTTCAATCCGCTTCCTTTGTCTATTATCCTTCACCGCAGCATGGAAGTATTTAGAATTGCGGTTTCCACTCCTTAACCATTTCTGCCTGCTCTTTTGTTTCCAATAGGACTCCTCCTCTCTATAAGCTTTTGCCAGATCACGTTTTAAATGAAACAGTTTCTGCAGATTTGGCCAGCAATCAGATTGTTCTTTCTCTAAAGCCACTTCTAATTGCTGAATCTTGTCCTGTGAATTCAAAGAGTTCTTTTTCTTCCAAGAACTTAAAGCTTTTCTGCAAACTCTAAGTCTCTCTGCAACAGAAAGATTAAAACCAGAATATCTAGGAATCCAAGCCTTAGCAATAGCTTCTCTCACCTCAGCCTTGTGCAAAAATCTCTTATCAAACCGAAACTGCCCTCTGTAAGAGTCTTGAGAAGACATCAGCTTGACAAGGACGGGTCTGTGATCAGATCCTCTCATGTCCAAAAAAGTTTGGTTTGAAACCGGGAAAGTCTTAAACCAATCATCATTCCCAAAAGCTCTGTCCAGTCTGCACTGAACCCAGTGGTCACCTCTCCTACCAGCCCAAGTGAACTTGTTACCATTACCAGTCATTTCGGTCAGCCCACAAGCTCTGATCATCTCGTTGAAGTCTTTGGAATCATTGTCTGATCTTCTAGGCCCTCCCAGTTTTTCACCATTGTGCATTAACTCGTTGAAATCACCCAAAACGCACCATCTATCTCTTCTTCCAATACCAATTCTGGATATCCTTTCCCAAACCACAGACCTTTTGCTTCTATCAGGATCTCCATAAACACAAGACACAAAAAAATTGGCAGCTCCAAACTGGACTTGAGCATCCAACAAATTTTTATCAAAAAACTTAAAGTCCACCTTTACACTATCCTTCCAAAAAACTGCAAGCCCTCCACATCTTCCAATCGGGTCCACAGTAAAAACTTGATCATAACCTAACCAAACTTGAAGATCAACTAAAACATTTCTCTTGTGCATCGTTTCCATCAAGAACAACATCTCAGGGAAGTGTTTTTTACGCAACTCCTTGAGACGAGGAATTGTCAATTCATGAGACCGTCCCAGTCCTTGACAATTCCAGCTGATTATGCTCATTGGGCGTTAGGCAAACCCCCCTTTGGGTTCACCTCTTGTGGGTTAAGCTTTGTCGATTTTACAGTGCTTGTACCCACATCAACTGCTTTTCTTTTATCTTTTTGACCCCTCTCAGCTCCCAATGGTTTCAGCTTTCTGACAAATTTTGTTGGACGATTCCTTGGCTTGTTCTTTGCCTTTTTCAAAACAATCCCGGAAGATCCTACCTCAAAAGGATTAGATCCATACACCGTTGAATTGTTTTGAAATGGCTGAGAAAGAGCTAAAAAGCAACCTGATCCCTCCAAAGAAGAAGAAGAAACGTGGCCCAAGCTCCATAAGCTATCATCTCTAGAACTGCTAGCCCCAACAGTTGCCAAAGCATCCTTAGCCGCAACGGTACCAAGCTCAGAAGAACCAGCAGGAGAAACATAATCAAACACTACACCTTTGCTTTTATTTAAATCTTGATGGAAAATGGGAATAGGCTCCAACCTCAGAATAGACTTTGCAGCCAAAGGATCTTTTTCAACATCTCTAACAGAGAGTCTAACCTTATCAGCTCTAAGCAATCTTTCTTCTTCGCTTGAAACACGCATATACTGCCTCATACCATCGAGAACCTCTTTTGCAATTCTATGTCTACCAGTAACTGGATCAATACCAACTTGATCTTCTTTCAAAATCCCAAACAATGGGTCAGAATCATTAAGCACCGGAATTTTCTTTGGCTTTGCAACTGGCACACCAGCTCTTCTAGCATCAGAGGAGTCCTGTCTTCTCTTTATAAGAACAGGACAGAAGTCTTTCTCGTGCGTCATTCTCTGACACTCGTAACACCTTTTTTGAACTCTTTCATATTCAAAAAACACATTAGCAGTACCACCTTTGGGGAGATTGACTATCTTTGATCTACGCAGCGGCCTAGACACGTCAAAAATCACCTTAACCCTCACATAATCTTCAATCTGGGATTTTGTAGTGTCAAAAGCAACCTCAACAACCCTCCCAATCTGATCTCCCAAAGCCGTGATCGCTTTTTCAGTATAGTAATTGATTGGCAGATTCCAAATACGAATCCAAAGCGGAGTGAACTGTAAGTAATCATCTGGTGGATTTTCATACCACCTATCCACCACCAGTGACCATTCGTTGAAAGTATGGATCCCTTTCTCTAAGACCTCTTCTAAATCATGCTCCGAATTGAAGAAGAATTGGAATTTCTCCTTGGAAAGAGCCACACCCCTAACCCTTCCCAACTTTTGCCATTTTCGGGGAAGATCACGCACCAAGTTCTTCATCGGTTGACAATCGGGGTTTAGAGTCCGACCAACTAAACTCAAAACATTTTCTTTGCAGGAAGAGAAGCAAGGAAGGTCGGGCATATTAAACGGAACATCCTCCTCTTCTAAAGACATCGCCATCAGCGCTTTGTCCATGGCAGAAGACATAGCTACAAGCAAACTTAAACCAAACACAAACTTTGAATCTGAAAAACGAAAAGCTTCAGAACAGAACTTTCCGACGGCGGAGAGCTCAGAAACAAAACACCAGCCGACAGCTCAGGAAGACGCCGTGAGCCAGAACACCAAGAGCTCACGAAATAACGGAAGAAACTCAAATCGAACTATAAAGACTTAGCGAAACTCAGATTGAAACGAACCCAGATCTTTCAAACACAAGCAGCTCGGGAAGACGCCACGAACAAGAACAGAAGCAACACGCAACAATTCGGAAGAAAATCACCTCGAAATTTCAAGACTTAAGAGAAACAGAGCAAAAACGGCTACACAAAGGCAAAACAGGATGAAAAAGTCGAAAGAGATAGTGTTTTAATCTGGTCAAAGCTCTTTCTAACCTAATGGAAGACACTGGTTCAGAAAGAGAGTCTTAAGCCCAAAAAAGGGGAGCAAGTTGTTTTTTCCAATTGACATAGTAAGCTGTGACTTCTAATATGTTGAATGATCTAATATACCTATATATTTTAAACGAAAAGTTAAATAATAATACTATCATTAGTTTTTTTTTATATACAATAACCTTATAGGAGAAAATTGTGTAAATAGAAAGGTTCAGCAGTAAAAATCATCGTAAATAAATTAGGGCCTGACTGGTTTAAACGCAGCGGTTGCGGTTGCGGTTGCGGGAGTTTGCGGAAGCGGGCGGTTGCGGCTTTAAGCGTTATCAAGCGTTTTGAACGACTGGTTTAGCGTTTGAAAATGAGTGCGTTTGCGGGAGTTTTATGACTGGTAAACCAGCGGGTGCGATAGCAGTTAAATAAAAAAATGACCAAAATAAATAAAAAATATTACAAAAAAAAAGAAATAAAAACACCAATATATTATTATGATAATATTAGAAAAATTTGAACATGCTTAATAATTAAAACCATAAATAAAGTACTAAATAATTATTCAAAAATAAAGAAATTTTGTAACAAGATAGTACTTTATGCATCTGGTTTAACATAAAAAATTGCATTAAGTAATGGGACAAACTGTAAATAACGTTGAATTCAATCAAAAAGCAAGTGAGTTTCTATTCGAGAAAACAAATCGAAACATATATTCAATCAAAAAGCAAAGCAATACGTAATAAAAATAAAAAAAACGATTCCATGAAAAATATTCAAAAAGTTACACATGAGGTGATGAATGAATAAAAGGATATATGATACTTACATTTGGTTATTGATTTTCATCAGTTTGGGTGGAAGACATTGAGAGAATAGAGTTTTAGAATATTATTAGGGTTTCTGATGAGAACGTGATACAAAGTGATACAAAGATGAAAGATATATATAGGATTAATATATATTATAATAATTATAAGTAAATGTTTGATTTTCTTTTTTTCTTTTTTTTTTTTTTTTTTTTTTTTTTTTTTTTTTTAAATCCAACCGCTACCGCCCGCAACCGCCCGCAACCGCAAACGCTTGCGGGAAGGAGCTTTTGAAATTCAGCGATTTCGAGCGGTTCGAAGCGGGACGGAGCGGTTTCTATGATTGGTACCAACCGCTAACAACCGCAACCGACCGCTAGCAACCGCTAGGAGGGTGCTAGCGGGAGAACCAATCAAGCCCTTAACTAATACGATTCTATAATCATCTTACTATATAAACCTAGTAAACAAATTAATTTTTTTTGGCATTACTATTCTGTCGGCGGTGGACCGCACATATTTTGACTTACTAGTACTAGTAGTATTTGATTAAGGGTTCTCCTTTGTCATGCCATTGATTTTATTCTTTAGAATTTTAATTTTTTTGATAAAAATTCTTTAGAAAATTTGCAACATGTGTCAAGTAATTATGTTGATTTCAACAAATTATATAGATCCGTATATCTTTAAAATCGACATGCATTATTTAGTTGTGCATCTACGTATCACGCATTGATTCATCATTAGCGAGACTAATTCCTACCACCTAATACATTAAAAATGAGAAGTACATTCATAAGACAGTAAAAATCCAGTATTAAAAAAAAAATTAAAACCAAAAAGTTAAAGATTCACGGTTACCAATCCTAAAACGTGAAAATAGAGAAAAATAAACGAAACATTTTATAATTATATAAAATAAGAGAAACCATACTAAATGGCACCAAGACGGAAACTAAACAACTAAACGACTGAGACGTTTATCTGTTATCTGATCACTTGATTTGAATCTAACACTTTTTAGAGCTTTGAATAGACCATGACCATTACCATGTCACTACCATAACATTTTTACTAGAAAGAATTGGGCAAAGCGGTGATCATTCATATTTTGGTCCGACAAATGGGAGAGAAAGACAATATAGATGTTCTTAGGACTCATTAGAAGTGATTAATACATTAAGATGGGACACTATATTCTGAACATTCGAAAAGAGAAGTGTTGTAGAAGTTGGCCTGGGAATCTGATTTGCAAGATTAGATATCAATGTCACATCTCGCCTGAACCTTTTGTTTTATTAAATAAATAGCGGGTTTGATTGGTAACAACTTTACAAAGCTGTACAAAATTTTATAAAACATACAGTTTTGACAGGTACCAATCACAAAAACTTTATCAAAAACGTTACAAACAGTTTTACTCTCAGCTTTTTTGTACAGTTTTCTCGTACAGTTCTTTCATACAGCTTTGCACTATTCCGGTAAAGCTTACAGCTAAAAAATTTGTACAGCTTTTGGTTACCAATCAGACCCAGCGTTTACTAAACTTAATTAAATCTTATATCTTACGTTATAATTAATATGAATGAAATGGCTGATGGTTTTTACTGGAGATAATAATCTATCTATCTACATTATCTCATAAGTTTTACCATTGAGTATCTTTGTACGAGTGAATTAGGTAAATGGTAGGAACCAGGAAATACAAATTTATTTAGGTAAATGTCAATTGTCGGAGTATACAAAATTGTACAAGTAAAAAATTAGGTAAATATATATATATACTAGAAAGTTGCCCACGCGATGCGTGGGTTATGCATTCAGTTATTTTGTATACAGATCGAAGTTTACATAAAATAATATATGGAAAGTACATTTGTATTGTTATTATGTTTTAAAAACATTATATAATAAAAAAAATTTAATATATACCACAATTTTTTTTGTGATAATACATCTATTACCAATTGTCTCGAAATAATAGATCAAATTCTAGTGTTCATTAATAAAAATTATAACCTACACACTTAGTTTGTTTGGATTAAGTGTTGTTGATATATTTTTTTCTACATAAGTTTTATATTAAATGTTAAAAAATTAGTAGATAAATTCCATGCAAGCACTTAAAACATATGAAATTTTGATATTATTTACCATTTTTTTTGTCAACAGCTTAAATTAAAGCTCAAAGGAACCAATTTATCTGCTTTTACATTTGAGCTATGAGGAATTAAAGATAGAGAAAAGGTTGAAAATTCTTTCTTGTCACTCTGAAAGTCCTCCAGATACACTGAAAAAGCTGTCATTCGGTTGGAAAAGACACCATCTTCACCAAATCTGAACAGTCTGTAAAGAAAGCTACATATTGGTTGTCAACACCAATCATATACTTCATCGCCCAAAGAAGAGCTTCGACTTCTGTATGTAGAGGAGATAGACTTCTACGGATATTGGCAACTCCCATGGTTGACATCTCTCCATTTGATGATGTACAATATCATCCTGTTCCTGAAAAAGTATCGGTTCCTTTCCATGATCCATCTATGAAACAACGATATCCTGAATAAGATATTTCCCT